TAAAAGCTGTTGATGGCTTCAAAAGATGTGGGGCCTGTGAGATCTGTAATTTTTCAAAGTAAACACAACAAAATAGAATGTTCACTTCCTAAACATCATCTCATTTTTGTTCTCAAATCAACAGCACCTTTGGCCAATTTTTTGTTTTCGCACACATAGAATGTTCAGTTCCTTTGCAGATCATTTTCCATCTGCACAACCACAAAACCAGCCACCAATTATTTGTTTTTGCACACTGACACATTTCCTATGGTAAGGGAGAAAGTCATTCTTTAGCAAATGCACAAGAGATTATAAAAATTGTTAACAGTCTTACCGTATGTTTGCAAGAAAACCATTTGCTGAAATTTTTGAAATTTTGTTTGTTCCAATTGTTGTTGATAATGGTAATTGAAATACAATTCAGTTTGAATAACATTTGTTACTGTTACAAAATGTAGCTTGCATTTTAATATCAAATATATAAAAAACATTTCAACTTTTATATGAATCAGGTACGGCAAACAATTTAAAATCGAGTAAAAATTAAAACATTTTGAAGATTAAATCTATGCAATACATGTCGAATTGTCTGCCTGCGGCTCTTTTTTCAATTTAAATTGCAATGTACATCTCAAGCTATGCTTACCAGTGATACCAATCTTTACACAGGTCACACATTATCATTTCTGTATACTGGGGGGTATTGCATCTTGCACATGTCCAGTCATTTTCAAATTTTCAACTGAAAGTAAAATATTGAAGCAGATAGTAACTTCTGTTTTGTTATCTGTATGAATGATTGCATATCGTTTCAAGAAATACTTAAAGTAGTGGAATGAATTTCTAAAGTTTTAAAAGTTCTAGACTTATAATTGAAACCATCTCATCTCTGATGTCTAAAATAATTAAAATTGGAATATGAACTTACTCATTGATTTAACTTTTTCCCATGCAGCATCACTAAATATTTGCTGGAGACTATCAATGCTGACATCTATTAAAGATGAGTCGGGAAGCTCTATTTGGCGTGGCAGTTTCTTTTCATTGAGGATGCTTCTCTCAATTCCAAGCTTTCTAGGATGTTTTTGGTTCTGAAAAATGGATTCACTGTATGAACCTGTAAGAAGATTGATTATAAACCTGAACATTTATTTTCAATTATATGGAAATCTGACACAACGAACCAATAAGGTTTTCTATAGCAATGGCGACAAACAGTGAAGTGAGTGAAATCGAAGCCATTTCTCAAGATGTTTTATTGAAGAAAGAATTTACATTTTCAGATTCGCTTATTTCAATTATTGATTTTGTTTTTGATGATGAAAGTCTTCCTACCACATTCATTTCGGACGATGATATTATTGAACTGATTGGTGCGCAAGAATTTCCTTGCAATTTGTGTCAACGAATCTGCCGATCAAAAAGTGGCCTAGAAGTTCACATTGAGAGGAATCATTATTCTTTGCCAAAAGAGCCATTTCTCAAGGCTGAAGACTTTGTTGTCATTGCTAGAGAAATTAAAGTGCATATGACACGAAAATTTTTATTCGCTTAAACTATCAAAGAAACATCGCTGGGAACAATGGTGAACTTAGTTTTTTCATTTGCGACTTACTTTCGAAATTATAGCTGTTTGAAAGTCGATTACAATGTTTTACTCATACAATGTTTTAAAGTCGTAAAGTTTTTGTTCTATAGGTATCTCCGTGCAGTTGCATACAGATGGGTTGTGAGGTGGATTTTTGGGTACCTTAGTTGGGACAAAGCACGCCCCCTTCCTGCCTGTATATACACATACATAAGAACTAAGTATGGCGATGCACATCAATAAAAAGGGTATAAAGATTCTGAGGAAAGACAATAAAAAGGTAGGCCTAAAAGTTCTTATTGAGCATTTTGTAATTCTGGAAATGTTTTTTTCTGGAAATAACTTGCATGAAGCTTCTTTTCTGTACTTATTTCTGAAACTTTATATGTACTGATTAGCGTTAAAGTTCAATAACTGCTGAAAATTAAGAAAATTTTAATGTGCCCCATGGCATGACTTCTTTGAATGACCTTTCATTGGTTGGCCACATGTTTTACAGTGGCTTGCTTTTTTTCACCAAACTGTTTGGCAGCTGCTTCAGTTTCTTGTCTTTTGCTCTCCTCAATTTCAATTTGTTCTTGATCATGGACTTAAAAGGAAAAATATTTATATTTTTAAGGAAATATTATTCTGATTCATAACAGTAGAAAGAGGAGGTCATTAAGAGAGATTGATATTAATAACAAAGAAACAATGCAAAAAACTTGAAGAAAAATTGATAACAGTTCTATAAAACCCTGTGCCAAGGGTCAATTTTCTGCTGCATCTATAACAAGTATTTGTCCCATGTCAAGTTTCAACACAAATATATTTCGCAAAATGTTTAGCTGTTGTTTGTATAATGTATAATGTTTGTATGATATAAGATCACTGGTGTCAATACCTGATGGATAAGGCAGGGTTGTCAGTGTTTGTCGTTGTCTTGCTTTTTCTAATGCCTTTTCTTTTGAAATCCTATTTTCAAACATTGAGGTCAAAGAGCTAGGCATCTTTGCTTCTGCTTCCTTAATAATTTTTTCCATCTCGAACTCAGGCATACCAAAAACAACTTTTTGAATTTCTTCCACATAACCTGCAAATGACACAAATTGAAAATTAGCCTGTCTAGTATACAAGTCTTCCAATTTGCCAAAACTTTGCTCAGAAGTAATACTTTTGTATGTTTTTTTGAAAACCTCAAACTATCTGTTTATATTTATGAATTGTTATTCTGTAATCATACAATATTTGAGCAAAGTTACTGAAAATAACTTACTGTATGTTGCTGGGACTGGAACCTTCCTCACGATCTCATCACCCAACTTGAATTTAGGATAATGCATCCTCACATATTTCTCTCCATCTTTACGAGTCTGTATCTCCCTACTCAGATTTTCATTAAAGTGGAAGATTGCAATGATGTGCCTAAAAAATATATGATTTTCTGAATCGTGATAGAAAAAATGCAAACAAACTATATGCTTTTGGAATTAGTAAACATCAATATATGTATATAAATATAATTTGCATTTTTACTAGTGTACACGTCTTTTCAACTGTACAATATATTTATATATATATATAGATACTCAATAAAAAAACAACTTGGTTGACGTTTCGCTATAAGCTTCTTCAGAATAACTAACACATACATCTGGAGCGTAAAATAAGGAATACGGAACAAAAGAACAAAAAGTAACACATTTTACAAGCAAGAACAATAATAGCTAATTTAACAACATAATGATAGTTTCTAAGCACAGCCGGAGGTGAGAAAAGATGGATAAATACAATAGATCAAAGAACAATAGAACAAGTGTGATAGCAGATGGTATAGCATGCAGAAAGGTCCAAGGAAAAGGAACGGTAAATGCTGTCTGTCCCAAAAAAAATAAGAAACTAGGTAAATAAATATAATAAATATAGAATGCAAAGAAAAGGAAGAAAGTAGATAGAAAACGTGGAAAAAATAAAAATAAACAAAAGTAACAAGGAGAAAATAAACAAAAAGATAGGAAATAAAAATAAAACTATGTGTCAACTAACCTAATATTAAGGCCCCGGGGCGCAAAAGTTTCTAACTTATACTGCCAGAAACTTTCACGTATCCTACCATTCCCATTAAGTCTATCTATAATAGTAACTTTTATATCTTCGAGAAACCCATGATGATCCTTCCCTGCAAAATGCCGGAAAAAATCAGCCTGAGGTACACCCGAAGAGCCCCCGATAAGCTTACGATTGCACGCCTTGTAGTTATTAAACCTAAGCCTAAAAGGCGTGCAAGTGCTACCCACATACTGTACACCACATACTTTACATTCCATAAGATACACAACATTGGACGAATCACAATTAAACGAAAAATTTATCTTATATTCCTTATCAGTTATATGGGAAGTGAAAGTATCAATGTCACACATAACATTACACACTTGACACCGAGACTTGCCACACGGAGTACAACCCTTGTTATGCGAAACCCCTGCCCCCTCACTATGAAGTTTAGCCCTAACTAGCATATCTTTAAGATTCTTACACCTCTTAAATGATATCAAAGGTGGCTGAGGAAACACCTTCCTATGCTCTTCTGATACTGTAAGCATAGAATGAAGTCTCCCGGCCACCTTGCCCAAATTATTCAAGGCTGGATGGTATGTGGTAACAAATGGAAC